CGGATATAGAGCCCGTTTCATAGCGGGAATTGGTCGGATCGGGCACTCCCCCCGAAAATATTGATCGGATGACATCATTTCGCAGGGGACACCCTGAAGTCGCTCCGTCCCCATCCGCACCTCCGAGCTTCCCCCCACCTCCCCCACACACACACACTTCGAGTCTCCGGTCGCGCCTTTCCCCGCCCGGCCGGACTCCGCGGCCCGGGGTTGCCCCGAGGGGACGGGACGGGACGGGACGGGCAGCACTGCCGGTCCCGCAACCCCTGCTCCGGTGTGAGCGCCGGGAAATGGACCGGGGGTGGGCGTGTGTAACCCTAAACCCACCGAGCGGCGATGCGGAGGTGAGGGACCCCCCCCTTGTCCTCCCTCACGGCCGCAGCTCGGCTCCTGCCTCAGCTCTGGCCCAGCCTTTATTAACCTTCTCAGAAAGAAAAGAGCTTCGCCTTCGGGAAATGCTTTTTAAACCTCGGGTCACCTCGCAGGGCAGGGGGGCGAGCGGTTCCCGGCAGCCCTGACCCCGGCAGCCGGCGGGGCACAGCCGCACGCCTCCCGCGCCGCGACGGGGCGGCCCGGTACGGCCCGGTACGGCCCGGTACGGAGCCTCTGGGCGGGCCGGCGCGGCTCCCGGGCTTTATTACCGCCCAGCCATCCCCGGCTGTGTCACTAGATGGAGCCTGGCACCTGGGCTGCGGGCTGGCCTCGCCTTTGGAGAGCTGCTGGCTCGGAGGGGGCTCTCCGGCTCCTGTTCGTCCCCATCTGTAGGAAGGGATTTGAGGGGAAAGAACGTGTGTGTAGTCAAAGAGCATTGCCCCCAGCCAGCGGCCCGAACGAAGCATCAAACAGGATTTTTTCTGGTCTCTGTGTGAACTTTTTCCACACGGGCTCCTCCCTGGGAGCTCACTCAGTGAGTGCACCAGGAGAGATGGGAAGAAGCACCCACACAGGCATTTGGGTTTGTTCCACGTGTTTTGCATGTCAGGCACACTTCAGGGGATTGTTGCTGAGTTTTCTGCTGTCCATCCAAGCTGAGCATTAAAGGAATTTTCCCAGATCTCAAGAGATAAAATGGGTACCGCTGGCATTTCATAAAGCAAAAAAAATCCTCCCCCCACAAGACACATTCAATAACCATTAAGAAAAACATAACCCCATGCCTCCAGGAATTTCTCTGAAGCAACAAAGTTCCCATCAACTTCAAATACTGTTTTTATATTTTGCTACCTGTTTACTTTCATCGTTTCGTCTTTACACTTGCATTTCCCTTCTATAGACCCTCACACAAATAACTTTGCTTTAAGAGCAATCCCAGTTCAGTGAGGCTGTGCGCACAGGTGAAGTCATACAGACACAGAGCCTGCAGGGCTTGCACTTGTACAATTGCTTACACTTAGGATCATGTGTAACTTACAGTACTGTAGTTAATGATGTTGATCAATCAGAGTTCGAATGATCGGGGTCTTGCATCAGAAGTTTCCTGGAGCAAGGGATTGTTTGTCACCAACCATTTCAGAAACAACTACTGATTTGGATTACCTTTGG